TCGTCATCAGTACTTTATGGACATTCTAAAAATATAAAGTAAATGTACACTTTGTTTCTAGATATGTTTGAACATCTCAAAAAACAGCACCCTGTTGTGTGACAAGTAGTGTCGTACTTAACTATATGTACTTTCGTATAAAGTTTTATGACCCCCAAGTACGAAAAAATAAGTCTCCCGTTCCGTTTGTCTGTCCGTCTGACGTCCCGATTTTTATTAGACAGATAATTTCCAAAAGTACTGGGCCGATAGTCGTAAAAATTTGTATTTATTTTAGGAATATCATGTAGATGGTAAAACGCTCACTCAAATTTGTCTAATCATCCCCACCAATAATGTGATGACGTCACTTCAAAATTGTTCATAGTAAATGGGTTTTAAATTGTATGAAATATATAACATAGTCCTACATATGTAGTTTATGATTCCGTCTTGAGTTCTTACCCGAAACGTCCAGATTTTTGGAATCAAAATCAAAATTATCAAACAACGATTTGCAAAGGTTACCTACTTACACTCGACGTATGTACTTAAATCAGCCTAATATGGATCTACATTTTCCAGTAAAAGAATTCAGTGTGCAATAAATTCCATTAAATAATTCCATCTAAAGCACCAAACGCACTGATGTTGAAAATTACTCAGTGTAATCATCATTTATGTCATATACCATATAAATGCTTGTGTTGACTTACGGTGGCAACACTGCTAATATCGCGTTTAGTTCTTCGAGTTTGTTCTTTTTGTAATACCTAAATTCGTAGATCAATTTCTACTCTGATTAATAGCAGGGTGTTAAAGACAAGCCCAAAATTGATTTACATTGTCATTAAGGTAATGGCAATTTTCTCGTGTTTATTTAGGGGCGGAAATTCGTAAATGCGGTCCTGATTAGAGACCATGATATAGCACGGTTTTAGGAGGTTTGTAAAGCATACATTAAAATAAGTTATGTATTAGTTATTCTTACAATTTTAACAAAATTACATAAGGTGTTTTTGATTTCGTGAATAATGTAGCTTGCTTTAGTATTATTACATCTGAAATTTGGAAAAAATAAAAATATGCTACAAATGCAGACGACAGGACTTACTTTTTAATAAACAAATTTAATAATGTTATCATTTTTCTGGAGGACACAGAGAAGGATTTTTTAATCGATGGGTTGCAATCAAAGTATGTATTTGATTCTATCATGGATTAAAAACATCCGTTATAGTATTTATGATACCTACATTAAATTTTCGTTGTACAAAATTTAAGTAATCAAAATTTGAAGGGGCTGTGAGGACAAATTTCGGTTAGCATTTTACTCTCAAGACGATATATTAGTACTCCATTTTAATAAAAACGCTTAATATATGAATATATAGGTTATCGAAAAAATGGCGTACTCAACTGTACATTATTAAGTTCACAAGTCTAAGCTTCAGAAAAATTTCTAACATCAATTTGACGTTCATTTACAAAAACAAAATATCGATTCTAAATAAATCAAAAAAAGTAAAAATTAACCACTGTTGTCATATTCATTCTATGAAGAAAACGATAGATACAGGCAAGATACCTTTAAAATTATTTTCAATAATGAAAGTCCGATCGATTTCATGTACCTACTCAAGACTAAGTAGTGACCTAATACGATGAAGTATCGAACAGAAAAATAAAATTTTGATGGGTCGTCTTCTATATTTGGCCTCAAGGATTTAAAGTTAATATTAAAATTATTTTTTCTCTTCTCAGTAAACAGTCCTTAACAACGTGTCATAGAGTTAGTGCATAATTTTTTGAGCACTCTGTATAAAAGATTAGTACCGGAATAAATTTTAAACTTTCAGAAGATTTTGCTTGAGAGTGAATCCGAAATCATGCATGACGAATATTTCTGTCCCCATTTATAAATTAAAAAAATATCGGCAACGTGTAGATAAGTTTGATTATTACTTATTTAAAAAGGCAATTGTCTATGTTATCAATACTTACTGAACTAGATCTTTATAATATTATGCTGCAAATCGCAGTATAGAGATACATATTTAATTATTTAGTCAATGTACATTTACTTTGGTTAATGCATGGCTTGCGCCCTCTTTACACCACTGGAAGAAACAACTCAGCAAGAGAATGCAGTTTCCTCGTTGCGTGTTCGGTGTCGATTTTAATTGAGATTGGAGCTACATAGTTTTTAACCCACATTCATCATCGTCTAATTCGAAATGGTCCACGAATAATAAAAAGCCTCTCTGAATGCTAAACGCAACCCAAAATACAGTATCAAAGGGATTGTGTTTAATTTCTCGAGATGTAGAAACATTATACATTGAACTTTAAACTTATCATCTTATTAGTCAAATTCCCAACAAAAATAATGTAATGAAACCATGAAAAAATTGATACGTTTTTGATCCATGGTAAATGCCATAAGAACGCGTTTTTTGCAGCGCGTGGTTATGCACAACGTTTCTTTATTGTATTTTGGGTTGCATTACGAATTCATGCTGGTTCTTTATTACTGGTGGCGCATTATGCATAATGTAGTAGCGATTTTGCTTTGGTAGCTATTGGCTGTTGCTACTCATCTCCATCACATTTTCATCATTCATTTGTGGTGCCCTTATTTAAAAATTAAATTTTGCGCCTAGAAAAACAATGACAACAAAATGAGTTCATAAAGATTACATCATGTACCGAACCCCCTATCACATAAAACAAAGCACATATGAAACAGGCACATATTAAATACCGTCAAAATCAAATGCAGGGTGTTGATACACCATTTACATCTAGACGGCAGTGAACACTTGACAAAAAGATTGCGGCTTTCGAAAAATACACTTTTTTGGCGAGAGAGATTAAGTATTACCATTCTCCATTAGCCTTTTGGCTAGACCGAAAATATTTGGCGTACTTCGATAATAATCAAATTCAAAATTAGACAAAAATTTGCTTCAATCATTAATAGTCACTCGGTATTCTACATGTATCGTTATTTAACATAAGTTGAGCTTCAATAAATGAATTTCCTACCACGTAGAAGATTTTCATTATTAATAGAATAAAAATAACACGTGCAGACCAATTTCTCAAAACAAAATTTAAGATTGAGAAATTGTTAATTAACTGGTCTTACACTAATTAGACTTATTGAGGGAGATCGAGGCGTGTTTACACTCAAAACACCAAAATAAGAAGTAACGCGCCAGAAACAGGAAGTGAGTGACTTTTTTGCATGCTACCTGCATTGTCTCACAAAACTCCTTCGAATTATCACCCCAATAAGGGTGATTTTTAAAACCCGGGTCATTACCTATCTTACTGGAATTATTATTTTTTTTATTTTTCAAATGTGGTTTCGAGGCATTGTTTTTTTTTCTCGGCACGAAATTTAATTTTTAAAACCGGCATACTTACCACATTGATGCAATTTTTAGCTAGCCATTAGTACTATAAAACTATTGTTTTTTATGCAGATTAATTTCTAGTAAGTATGCGCAATTATGCGGTCTAAAATTAAATGAATTAGAGTTGACTATGAAACGCAACTTTACTTGTGTAGGTGGTACTACTGATACATAATATCTTTTCGTCAAAAAGTGCAGTAGAATTGAGTAAGTTCACGTTCCTCTTGTTCATAGTTTCACCGTTTTGGTAATATCTGCGCAAGAAACATGTTTTGTATTCTAATAAAAACATTTTTAGAGAAATCTAAAACAATGTAAATACCCAGTCACAAAAGTTTATATTGGCTTGAAAGGCAATGTCAACTCTAAATAATTTTATTTTCGATCGTATGAAATGGTTAATCCCGCTTAAGTTGGCACCTCCAGAGATTAGTTTTCCAATGGCAAAATCAATAATTTTAGGTGTGATGTGCTCCAAATTCCAACTTCTGTACGTTTTAGTCACCGCAGCCGTTGAATATTTCATCATCTTGGAAGTAAGGCAGATACTGCTTGTTTTTCAAGTATTCTAAACATTTTTGTGCATATTGAAATCCACTGTAAGACTGAAATTAGAAACATTTTTATTCAACGCGCATTTAGTTACTAAGTTACTACTAAATATACATTGTTACGCTTTAGGGGTACTAAAATCGGTGTGAGTAAAACTCAACAATTTATCTCTCAGTAATACAAATTTACACGACTAACTACACTGCGAAAATGCACGGAGGTAGAAAAGACCGGAGGGAAGGTGTCGTGAATTTTGTGACACAGACTCAGGCACCGTTTATGACCCTACTTGAAATGCGCGCTGTGCTAAGCTCCACCCTCTAAATGTTTAGCAGTCATAACCAGTGGCGGGGCAACATATTTTATGTTGACAACCTTATATATAAGTCTCTAAATGTTATTATGATCTTTAATTATAATCAAAATCTATTCAAATTAAAAACACCAACAACACGTCCAAAACTAAAACAGCACAACTAAACTCGAAACTCAAGAACGAACAATTGCATATAAACAGCACGTGTTACGTGATAGTACGCCACTGGAAATCCAAACTCTGTCAGCTGTTGAGTGTAGGAGCGCGTTTGCGTCGGGCTGGCAAATATTGGCGCCTTGTTCAAATAAGATCATAACCGGTGTCTGACCGGGTCTTGAACGATGCCAGAATCGTTACATTGCTAGCATACGGTACGCTCCCTCCGGTCTCTTCTACCTCCGTGCGAAAATGTCTAATTCTCTCGTTGACTGACCGCCCGTTCCCAACGGACGGCCATGCGCACTTCTGGAGAGTTCGCAATCGCCGCCTTGGAGGTTGTTCTGGAGTCCACCATCGAGCTTCCGGCAAACCACTTCCAGGCTTTTCTCTGTTCGAATCTCGCCGTTATCTATGATGAGTTACCGGTCATCGCTGTACATAATAGAAAACCCATATGCATTATACCACGACGGCGTATGGGTTTACTTCGTAACCATATTTTGTTGAATTGATAGGATGTAATTTTTGGGTTTCTTCTTTTATACAAAAACTATTGCAAATGAAGCAGTCTCTTTCGTAGTGATTCACGAACTTTATTTAAGAATCACAAATGACACTATATGACAGTTTCTTATTATTAGACTAACATTAACGGTAGTGCAGTGGCATATTTTACTCTAGATGAAAATGGTGCTGTTTCAATAAGACATAAGAACTTGAAGACAATTCTTCGTGGCGCGGTACAATAACTGATGAAAAAGCAATACCACCAGATCCGCATATTTTCGATAATTTCCATATGGTGGAAATTTGAAATTGTAAAGGTGCGTTCAGAAAAAGTTTTAGACTCGAGTGCTTTATAATAATTGACATAATAGATCCAATACACTCGCATCTGTTGTTGTCACTCATTTTGTGCAGATGCATCCGAAACTTCCAAAATTAAAACGATGTAAAACAAAAATAGGCTAGAATATTCTCCGGGGTTGCAATAATTCTGTTTTTCTTGTACACTGTTTAAACACACCACTTGCGTATTATATTCGCCGTTACTTTTTTCAAGCAAATTTGTAATCGCCGAGACGTCAAATTCTGATATTTCGGAGATGTGCACTTCTATTGTTTTTTTTTATCGCTAATTTTTAGTTTTATTTTAACAAAAATTGTAACTACAAATATATGCATATTTAATGGATACAAGTTAATTTTCAAACAACAGTATCTCTACAGTAACCGAAAAAAGCTGCTTTGGGTTTAAAAATTTGCAGTAAATATAAAATCCGATTTTATATTATTTTTGTAGAGTACAGTTGTTAAAAAAATGTCTGCAACTAGTTCCTGAAACATTTTTAATGTTCTTTACTGATTTTTTCAACTGGGCTATAAGAGGCTCAAAAATTTTATTCTTGTGCGCTGATGTTCCATTTCATGTACCTACTAGTTACACTAATCACTATTTCTATAGAAACTTAACATATACTTTAATTTTATTTACACAACTTTTTAATTATAACGAGCGTTCATATAAAAACGGCTGACTTTGTAAATGTGAATTTAGGGCTTAGTGAATGATCCGTTCACATTTCCAAACCCAACTTGATGTCGTTTTTATTTGAACACTCGTTATAAAGGTTTGTATCACATTATGCCTTAACTTTACTAAACCTAAACACAAAATAAGAGTAAAAAAAAAACTCTCGTGTCGTGTATATTTGGCATTATATGCAGTGGTGTACATAAATGTGTATGCAAAAACACCATTGCATGCGACACAGCTCGAGTTTTTGGCATACTTAAACAAATAATTTTTCAAATTTTACGAAATATCGCTAAATCAACAGATACTGTATAGTCAAATAAAACTGGTTTATAAGTAATTCGTTATGTACAAAATTACGACATTTTCGGTACATACTGTTACAAAGCCACAGGAACGTACAAAGTAATGAATCACTAAGTTTTTAGCAGGACGATGCAATTAAATCTACAGACCTTACATTAAAAATGAAACAGTTGTTACGTTTGGCTATTTATGAAAATTATACAATGATGGCTATATACAAATTTAAAATTCGTTCACATGGCATATCGCGATTCTTTTTAGAAGTTTACGCGCTCTTAGGTAGGTAAACTTATAAGAATATATGAAATGTCATTAGTTATCTAGCAAATAGCGATAGTTTGTTTTCTTTCCCTCTTAAAATTTAGAAAAAATTATACATAATGCATACTACTGGATAGTAAAACAAACATATAAAACTTCAATACAATCAGTCTACTTCAGTTTTCAAATGTTCCCAAATATGCTCCACAGCTTGGACAATAATGGTTCTGACTCTGACAAGAATCAACACAGTATGGAATGCAGCAGCAAAGCCAGCACCTGTAAAATAAAAAGGTTTTAATAAAGTAATAACATACAACAGATTATCCTGGTATGTACTCGTAGATGATTTTTATGTACTCATACCATTTGATAAAACATTTTGCATACTAATTTTGTAAAGCATAAGTTTTACAAAATTCATGCTTCGATTTATAACAATACTTACAAAATAAAAAACAAACAGAGCTTTAAATAGGCCCTTCTTTTTATGTAGAGTGCATACAAATCTGCGGGTGTCTTTTAATATTTGAAGTTAAAAAAACGGCGCTTCACGAAGTATCTAAATGTAATGTTACAATACTCACTGAAACAGACATAAAAGTAAAGCGAATAAATGTGTTTTCGTATTTGGTTCTGTTTTCACTGACGTGGTGATCTGTGCATGGCAGGATGGACAAATCATGTGCTGAGGATTAGGTCCTAAAACTACATGAGGTCCAGAAGTAATAAACACTGAAAGATAAACAAAATTATAATTGTATACTTGATGTATGCGTTTGTATGGTAGTATGTAGGTAGGTATTACTGAAATGTTATCGTGTCTCTTCTACTGTTATATTGTTGTTAATTTCAGGAAGTTTAGAGAAGCGACTATTATTATTAATTCTATAAAATTAGATCAAGTGGTTCTGGAATATTTTAAAATAGAGTTAATAATTATTCCAAGAACATCTTTATACACATAGAAGTGAAGGTACCTATTTCTAACGTTTATGAAAACATTGGGACATTTTAACGTCTAGATTAATAAGCAAAAAGCAAAAAGTTGGGTATGGAATTTTATCTGCATAATATTTATTTCGATCCATGGTTTTTCAAAAATCACAACAATTTTAACCTTAGTAAGTCTTTTAAAGGGCTAAAACTGTTCACTAAAACTTGTAAAATTGTTTGACAGACATATTAGACAAATTGAATAATTAAACACTGACAACATAGTAGCCTATCCATTGCACATTAATTATTATACTCTACTAATTATGAAATTAGTACTGCAAGCACTTCCTAATCTTACAAGAGTACCTAGTAGGTATATATAGTGTAATGTAATATGGACAGTGCCTAAATTAAGGAAAATTTCCAACTGCACAATCGCCTTTAATCCCCCCCCCCCCCCTTCTGTCTTCAATACTACTACTACTAACTAACCCCCCCCCCCCCCCCACATTAAAATGCACTATGATTTTGTCGATTTTGTGAGAACACCTGCACCATTAATAATAAATAAATAATAGCAAAATTCAAAATAAATATATTGTAAAAATATAAACAAAAATCTAAAATAGTCATAATACATACACTATTAATACATATGTCACTATTTAAAGGTAGGTACTTCACAAAAGTTTGTGTGTTGTTTTCCCAAAACAGAGGAAAATAATTAATTAAGCCACAATCGAACAAAGTGTTCTGAATTTTATTATTATAATTCGTATTTTGTCATTATTAAATAAAGACTTGTGTATTCTCATATTTTTGAGAAAATGGGATGACACGTTCTTAATTTGATCAATAAAAAATTTGTGATGACGCCAATAACGTAAATAATACTTGTCATAGCACAAAAGAAGATTAGTCACAGTTGTGAAGGTAGTACGACTTCGCAAGTACGACTGATAAATTTTTGTTGTGCTCTTTTTCGAAATCACTGAGACAAGTGTTATTGTCAAGCAGGTACGTGACAGATCGAAAACAGCACATCTGGGGTTTCTTGAGGTTCCAACTTGACAAATAAAGTCATAAAAATTCCTGTATACTTTTCGGTGAAGGGATGAACCGGCGTCAATAGTAGTAAGCTTACGCTCGGGAAGTAAAAATATTAATAATGTGAAAAAGTTACTGCACAAATTGCAATTTCCAGCTGCACAAATGCACTTTTGAACTGCACAAAATGTGTAGAAGTGCACATTAATTTAGGCCCTGAATATGGATACATTGTAATTGAATCTTTCAATTTTCATTTCTGTAGAAACAAGTAGCCAAAACCAAATTGAACGTACAATCAACTATTTAACATAATAACATTTTAAAAAATAATAAATAGGTAGGTAGATGTAATTGGTGTAATATTAAGTAGGTACTCTAAAATTTTGCTTGTTTAAACAATTATGTGGTCGTAATTTTGCATAATTAGATTAGATATGGTTTAACATACTATTATGTATTTTGAAAAACAGTGATCAGATCAGATCAGATCACTGATCACTAAGCAAATTAGGATTTGTTAACGGCTCAACTATGGACTTAAAAATTAACATATTATAAAGTCCTCACCACTTATGTACCTACATAATAAACAGTCATTTAAGAAATAATGAGATAAATTTAAGAAAAAAATTCCTGATTCATTTTTTTTATTATAGGTAGTGCAGTATTGGACGATATTCAACTCAAGTTAACCATGGAAATATTCCAAAACTAAATATTTTCACTTATCAGTAACTGCTTATCGTCACTCCCATCTAAACACTCGTACTTTAAATGTTGAAAAGATAGAGTCGCTTTAATAATATTTAATAATAACTCAGGCAATTCGAACTTGTTTTCTAAATTTAAAAGTGATTACATATAAATATTGCTATCTTGATATTGGTGATCAACTTGAATTTTATATTCTTTAGCAAAGTCCATACGCCACTATTGTGAGTTTTGGGCATCTTTTGTGACTGCTATTTATCAGTTATCATTATCACATAATTTTATAAAATTTATCAGGTAAGTAAAATATGTGCAATTGTAAAAAAAAAAAACAATTGGTTTATTTTTTAATGCTAATAATTTTGAGGCAGTTATAACTGCAAAGCTATAATTGAAATAGATGTGGTAAAAAAACGATAACACTGTTATTGAAGTGACTTTTTACAACAATATTTGGTGTTGCGCAGTTTTATAACAGGATTTAATCCTTATCCACACATCTATTGCTTATTGTAGCAGATTAAACATCGTAAATATAAATTTTATTATTAAGGAATGTGTTGTGTGACTTGCAACTAAATGAATGGTTATTACCATGAGTGGCCTGAGCATCAGCAGGAGGTGGGTTATAGGGCATTGAAGAACTGTATTCTGGCTTCATACCGGGCGGTGGTGGTGCCATACCTGTTGGGGGCGGTCCCATTCCTGAGTGTTGCCCAGCCTTACTGTATGGTGGTGGATTATCTTGATACATTGTTACTTAACTGTAAATAAAAATTTCCTATAAAATTTGAGGGAAAAATATTTATGAGATCCACATTTCAATTACAACTACTGGTTGGTGAGTAGGAGGACACACTACAATTAAGGTGGAAGTTCTGTGTGCATGTAAGAAACATTAAGTATTCTTTTTGATGAAGTTGATTTTATTATGCCACCTATTTTCACGTGACGAAATAAAAAGTTTTTGCGATAGATAGATATTTTGGTACCAGCAAACATTTTGCAGACGTTATGCAGTGTTTTTGTTTTCTGTTTTTAAAAGTGCGGCAAAAAACCATGAAAGTTCATATTGGTATCATATTAGTGTATAAAACACAAAATTTTGTTGAATTTCCGCCATATTAGCATCGTTACGAAAAAAAGATATTAAAAAAGTTAATAAATAAAAAGACTGAAATAGAATAATGAAGCGAACATTAAAACCACGAAGCGAAATAAAAATTCAAGGGCGGAAGTTTACCAACGTGTAAATTTGGAAACAACGAGCTTTTCATAACTTTATTAATCGAACAAAAAATATGTCAAAAATAGTGTAGGTATAATGAAAGTGACTGGTGACTGTGTGACAAATTGAACGAAAACTTGAAGATTATACACAATATACACCGATAGCATCAGATCAACATAAAACTTAAAATTGATGCACCGATTGACACCATCTGCTTCTAATTATTTATTTTTAAAAAACAGTGCAAGTCGTCAGACTGAAAAGCATGCCAAGTTTGACGAAAAATATAGTCTATTTACGATTTTCAGTTCATAAGCATTTTGAATTTTACAGGTACACACTTCGAAAAAAGTTAAGGCATAATCGCACCATATTTTCCATTAAACTTTGATGTGCCTATAAGTGAAAATGTACCTATAAGGACTACAAATCCACGTTAAATATATGCTTCTCTATTATGTGAATTCAGTAATTCACAAATACACTTATTGTTTTCAAATGAAAAATGATTTCCTCTTTTGCATTTATGATGATAACAAGTAATATATTCATAACACTCGAACAAAAAACGTAGTGAAGGTTAAACATAACGAGCAACGATTGCAAATAATTGTGGTTTAATGATATAGTAACAGCAGAAATGAATTTACAATGCATCGATGTGGCCATAAAACAAAAATTTACCTTTGAATTTTACTCCACTATCACACAGATGGTTCAGGAAAGTGCAACATTAATAAACAATAGTGTACGCGGCAAATATTATGTCCATTTAATTCAGTTTGTCAAGATAAACGGTTTTCCGAGAACTGATTATTATTATCATTCGATCTACGTACTTATTTCAAAATCCTGTCAAGAAGGTGTTTAACTGCAAGATATTTATCTCCTTTTTAATCGGATAAGCATAAAATAACATGATAACCAATGATTAGTAGTGTATTTGCTTTGTTTAAAAAAAAATAATAAACAGTAGGAAACAATTTTCTGTTTGTTTTTCTGGAAGCTATTAACTCGGAATTATCTATTTAAGAAAATGGAAATGAAATATTACGGTTATCATCTATTTAGGCACACGACTTTTCAAAAAAGTACTTCTTAATATGCATATTGTTACGTTTGACGGGCGAATAATTTATCGGGCGTAGGTAAAAACTCAACAATTTATTTCTTTAACTGGTATTTACACAACTAACTGCGATTACAACTTCACAACTTAAATGCACTCCACTCTTGTCTGAATTATGAATGCCTGGTTCCCGACGGTGGCCTCTATTTACATCCCTGCGTGCCTCTCGATGGATCCAGAACGCCGCATCGGAGTTTTCTGGACGCCGCAATCGAGACTTCTTCTCGGCTCGTCGCGACTTCCGCTTGCATTCGCACTGCCGATGAGTCAGACTACATACGAGAAGCAACGCGTAGATGCTAGAAAACGCATAGGCGTCGTATCGGGGTGCGTATGGGCTTATTTCGTAACAATCTTTGGGATAAGTTGTAGTAATGCATAAGTTTCTCTAAATACTTTTCATAGACTCACCAGTTGTCTACGAGTATTTCTGGTCCTTATAAATATCTGATTTATGATCTTCCCACATTCTTATGTTTTTGACAGTAGAAAATATAAATACAACTCAAAACAAAGTTTGTAGTAATTTGTGCATGCACATGTGTTTTGGCATTGAATAAAAGACGACAATTGTAGGGATAAATATATACAGTACAACCTCTTTAATCCGGACAATTATATGCAAGAGTTCCGTTCGGACATGAAAGAAAACACAAGATAAAACATAAAAGGTTTATTTAACGGCAATACTAATGCCGATGCCGTAATAATCTAGGGAGCATCGGGCCCTACGTTATACATATACTCATATTTACCATCATTACACAATTTCTATAAAAATATTCGTAAATGTATGTATTAATTTTGTACACAAATAGGGGAGTAGTTGTTAATTTATGTCGACAAAAGATTGTTTAAAAAACTGTCCACTGTGCCCCGTTCTCCCCAAAGTCAGTAACGGTTAAGATTAAAGTAAAAAGCATTAAAAGTGAAACTGAACTTCAATTTTTAAATGCAGCTAATTATTAGGAGTTTTGATTACTTTGCATTTTTGTTTGGAAATAATTCGATTAAAAAATCAATATGCGATTAATAGAAAATGATAAAATATGAAATTGTCTTTTCGATACAGTCAAAAGTGACTTTCTATCGTCTAGTTTAAAAAAGAATAAAGACTAGATGCACCGGTGAATAGTTTAGAATGCTAAATACTTATTTAAATTCATATGTTATTAAAACTTAATTTTTTAAACAAATATGAACAAAATCTGCTTACGTACATTATTTTTCACATTAGCTATATTATACATAGCATTTTGGAAATGTTTTGTTGCGTAAGTAAAATTTCCAAATTTGTTTTTAAAATGTAACCCATGGACCAGTTTCAACTTTTTTGTTTCGATTTTGCATTAGATTTTTTTCTCTTGTTGTGTGCTAGTGATAGATAATAATACATATATTTATTATCTTATAATTTTGGTAATTTTGTGAAATCATTCGATAAACTGCTTTAAATTTATCATCGAGTTTACTCGTATTTTATCATTAAACACATACTCCTTTTAATAATCTAACGCTGTAGTTTCGTAATTTTAATTTAATTTTAGAATATTATTAATTACATAACCTTGTTATTTATGTTGACACTATGAACAAACTATTCAATTCGAAACTTTGATTCAGAGAAGTAATAAAAATTTAAAGACTCTGTTCAGATATTGGTGAATATTTGCATTCTATGATGTTTCGGCCGTATTTTGCAAATTCGTCATCTTCAAAAAGCCGGTCGACGTCACTCAATGTAAATTAAATTCAGCAAGAGGGTAGAGTACAAATAATTATCTTAAAACAGCTTACAATAGTTATTCATTTATTTTCAAAGCATGTTCAAATTTTCCCCATTTAATTGCTTTTCATGATTAATGTTACAAGACGTGCAGCAATAAAGCAATAATATAATGTGAAAGAATCGGTTATTATGCATAAATAACTGGTCACAGACGTAAAAAAGTCAATATTACATTCCAAATGTTACGGATGAATGGATCCCAGAGTATTGTGTTTGGCATGCGCGTAGCGCACGTTGATTGTAGTTATTGGAAAACTCCATTTTGTTGTTCCACATAGCACTTTGGTTTCAATGTTTGTGTCACTTTTGTAACCAAATAAAACTGAACATGCAAAGATCAGTTTTTTACCTCAAAAATGCTAAAATGTTTTTCATTTTGTTTTATAACAATATCGATCAAAAAGTATATAGCACTGCTTCTGTAACTTAACTGTACTAGTAATTGGTTTCAAATGTGACGACATGTATGTGTGTACATATGTGTATTCCATGAACAGACAGAAAATATTCTCGAAACGTATTCTTGTCCACTGCACCTGTATTAAAAAAAAATCTTCACTTGCTCCTAACGCACAGTCATGCAATGATTAGATTATTTCATTGATTTCTATATACGTTATACTAATACAAATAGGGACAGATTATTAAAATATAAACCTGGAGCTGCTATGATGTATATTTCAAGTAAGATTTTCTTGGTAAAATTGTTTAATAACGTTATCAACTTTTAGAGGGGAGAATATAATATTTTGATAGGTACAATATAACACTATTAACGTTGGAAGATTAGATAAGCTTAAATTGCTTCATCCGAATAAACAGTTCTGAAAACTAAAAGTGGCTTAAAAACTACATGTACTTTAGATACTATTTGCACACTGCAAGTGAGATTTAGTTCGGAAAATGCCAACATAACGTCATCAAGTTCTTGGAAGGGATGAACTGATAAACTTTAGTTATTGATTTATCATACTCACGATAATTTTTAACACGTGTGCACAATTTCTGAGCAATCAGTTTTCTATTTTGTAAGATAGATTGTAAAATTTATCTATTTTTTTTACAGCTCTGAAACATTAAAGAATGAAGCAATTTATTCTATTGATCAAATCAAGAACAGTGCATCGTTCACCCCATTTTCTATAAAACTTGGTACTGTTATCATTAGTTACAGGTTGGCAACATATTTAAAATTTTATGATGGCATACTTGATTGCCAAATTGACATTTATGACTTCAAATCACTAGCTGCGAACTGACATACCAGCACTGCTGCCAATAATCCATAATTGCCAACAGAAAAATTAGTTTCAATCGTTAACAGTTGGCCCGTATTACACTGCACCTACTCAAATTAGTCCTTGTTAGAATGTTGATGTCGTCAATCATAAAATTTTGTTATGAAAAAACTCACTTGAAACATATGCATAGTACGCTTCTTTACATGTCTTTAACAGTCCACGTATATAACTTACACTGGTTATCTTAAAAAGTAAAATTCGTAAAATCGGATTTTATAATTTGACTCGTTAGTTTAATACACAAATTTAATAAAACTTGTTCTTTTAAACATGCCGTTTAAAATATTCAATCATGTGAATAATTTAAAATATTTATATGAAGTAAAGATAAACAAAATCTAAAATTATACTGAATCGCGGTTCACAGAAATTTCTGACGGTGTACAAAAAAATACAACATCGCTAAAACAAATATGTACTAAGGCCTTGGGCTTCAACCGCATTTCTTTCGTACATTTTCCTCGAAAACAGTAATTTATTAGTTCGTAGTTGAACGAATTGTATATTCATCTTTACGTCGGGACACATTAATCCATTCAAGCATGGTGTTTTTGTTTATAATATCCTGTGGAACAAATAACATATACTTGACAATATGTTTTTTGGGGAAAAATGGGGTCCACATATCATGAAGATAAGATAAAATTAAGTAAATAACATAAAAGAGGGGTAAAAATATAATGAATAGATACGCAGAAATAATGTGTCCAGTACATTTATTGCTTTATAAATGTCAGGTAATTTGTGTTATGAATTTTTCAGTTTTATTAAATTTTAGATACAAGGTTGCCGCGAATAAAAAAAGGGTAACACTTGACATATTTGTGGGACAATATTGTCCAAGATATCATTACTTTATCTCAAGATATTCAGATCTGCCTGTGTGGTTAACCGTGTAGCTAGAATGAAATCACCCTGACAACACCTATTAACTAGAGGGTGAAAAGCGTTTTGTGTTTACAGTTACGACTAATATATTTATGGGTAACTGGGAGTAAAACTCACCTACTGGTTGCGTGACACCTGCTAGAACTCTCGCTTCTCACTGACTCGTTGGTAATGCAATGAATTTCTATTGCGCCATCAAACGCGAACAATATAGGTAGACGATTTCGACGTGTCCCTCGCACTATATTAACGCTTGGATTTCGTCGGTTTAAGCTACAACTTTGCGGTACAGGTGATTTAGTTCGATTCTACTGCAGGAAAAGACTGGGTTACAATAACTGGATGATTCTGTTTACCTCGTGATCTACTACTCAAATTAATTTATCAGATTGTTTTTTTCCATGAAAACGGAGTCGCAATGAATGAGTCATACTATTTTCGCCATTGCAATTGACGTCACTTGTCTCTTGTCTCACTAACATACATATTTTTAAAATATTGATTTTAATATGATGCAACTTTTTAATTACTATAATTATTTATTGTTATCTAATTGTAAGGATCATCTTGACGAATATTTTATTGTATATTTTCTTAACCTTTCGCTTTAAAGAATGTCGTTCTGTTATTTTCGTCTGTTAACTGTTTGTTTATTTTTCGATGTGTCTGTTGGTGATTTTATTTTAAATTACTAGAAAGTGGGGTTTACCAAGTTATTGGAATTAATGAAGATGTTCTTTTGGCTTACTCTGCGGAGACCACAAATAATAATTATAAGTCTTCAACCCTTTGGGATAAGGGGATGTTCTGTCTAAGTAATTTTAGAACAGTTTTTACTTTACAAGTACAAGCTAAGAAATTACTGTAGAGCCGATCTCGAATGGCTACTTTCATGTTGCAGTTTAACAGTCCCCGTATATCTTTATTTTAACTTATAAGTACATACTTAAGGATTAGCATAAAAAATTAAATTCTCAAACTTAAATTTTATAATTTTTCGAAGAAACTGCGGTTGTTCCACTGTATTTCAGGAGCGATGGAAGATCTGTCTAAATAACGTTCGACCAGTTTTTTTCATCCCGAGCGTAAGCTAAGGAAGTATTGTAATCGAGTTTATTGGGCGACTGGTTACTTTCATAATTTCTCGATGGATCATGACCTTTTTCTTACACGTTGAATGTTAAACGAAACAAACGTGTGCTCATGATTCTAATTTTTTACCCCCGACTGAAAAACAGGGTTGTTTTAATTTTGACCCCTTTGTTTCTCTATGTGTCTGTCTGCGGATTTTTTGTTTGAAACCTAGTTCGATCGGGATGGTTCTTACCTATGTTTGATAGTAATCACTTCACTCATTTGCGTCTGTCTGTCGTATCGTAGCTCACAAACAGATGAACCGATTTCAGTGAGTTTCTTTGTTTAAAAGCCGGTTCACTTGGGAAGGTTCTTACGAGGGTGGTTTGATAAATAACTCGGTTTGCATCGTTTTAGAGGGCGAAAGAAAAGCAGTAACTGCATATGTAGACTTCAAGTAGGCATCCCATAGATGAAGTTTCTATACTGTCTGTCAATATGTTAGTACCTAATTCCCGCTTTAGGAATTAATTAAAAAACTAGCGTGTTGGGTGATTTTTAAAAAAAGGATAAAACTGCAATTCGCGGTGCGATTCAGTTCTTTTTTTTGGGGAGGGAAAAAAAGAAATCCATAAAAAGATTTTTTTACTTTGAGGGATATTCTTCTTATGAAACCATTGGACTTTGGGTTAATGAGTCGTTTCCTTTTGCCGCCTTTTCCTTTCGTTAAGTCATTCATTATCTAAAATTTTGATAAGAATAATTTCACAAAATTTTCTTTGTTTGCACTGTTTTTTTATCTTATCTGGTTTTTTACCTTTTTTTTTTCTTTTTATATAATGACGTAATCATGCTTTGCCTTAAAATGCAAAGCTGCAATCGATGATAAAGCTGATGGATTTATTAAATGTGACTGTTGCACCAGACTCATACCTCTTGCTCAAGACTCTCTGCTCAAGAACTAAAATGTTTTAAATTAAGATCATCAACCAGACGTTTAAATTATATTTGTACAACATGTGAGTAAGGGCACGACAAATTCCGAAACTCATTGCTATGGTTGAGAACTTGCCAGAGGAAATTGAGGAATTAAAAAGGAATATCAACAAAATTATTCCAGCTATATCTACGAGATTATTACTCCAGCAACATTCCATTTATTGAAACTGGAAAAATTATAAATATATGAGCTTCCAGAATGTCAAAAATGTGAATGTAACCTTATTATTTACAATGTTACTGAAAACAGTGTCTTGAAAGAACAATTATTATAGTATATTAAAGAACGAGTTTCATAAGGCAAATATTGAGGCACGAATCCAAGTTTATAGAACGAGCGGCGAAGCCGCGAGTTATATAAAGGATGAGTGCCTCAATGGCCTTATGAACGAGTTATTTATACTATTTTTTCTACCGCACACGTTTTTTCCCAAAATTTAATTGAAATTTGTATTTTTTTTAATCTGGGGACTTTTGTCGTGGTTGGTGATGGGTTGGTCTGACACTAACCTCGAAATATTTGATGTTCGAATTTTCACAACAACAATTGTAATTCGAATCAATTTGAGTTTTTGTAATTTAAAATTGGTTAAAATGTCTTGCGAAGAAGTTACGCGTCCAGAAAGGTGGGAAATTTTAAGTTTAGATTTGCCACTGACATTCACCTGACATTTCTCGTCATTGCTACCAATCTTACCGATCTAAATTACACCAGATCTATTAAAGAACGCCTTTCCGCTATTAACGAACTGCTGTGACGTCATTTGCGTGCGTTAATAGCTCTATTAGAAAACCAAAAAACGTGGGCGGTAGAAAAAATGAATTAAAAGTTTGCACGGAAATTTTACCACCTATTTACTTGGGTAAATTTGATATTACTTATAAACAGTAATAAAAATAAAAGTAAAATAGGGCGTGCCCTATCAAAGTTAAGGTAACTCGTCTTAATGATGTCGATACCACTGTAAAAAAAATTAGCCTAAAGAGTTTAGACAGTACTTCCCTCGCTGTCGGAAACGTGACGACGCCATGCCTATTATGTTCTTTTTTGCTCATTACATTTTTGTAGCGGGGCATTTTAAAAAAAATTTGCGATGACGTCATCAACATTTTTGCAAGGACACATATATCAGTTTAGATAGATGTAGTGTAATACTAAAAAAATAGGGCTAGGCGGTTGAAATTTATGCGCCACGGCAGACCAGTGGCTCGCAACCGATCTTACGCATCGCGAAGAAAATTATGAGAAAACTAACGTTAATTGAACGTCAGTTGATGATTTTAAAATCCGTATCAACAATATAATAATAATAATATTTTTAATAATTTTCAAGTGTCGGTCTCGCTGAAAATAAAACTGTGTCTGTAAATGTGTAAATTATTAAAAATGATGCATACAGCACATTATCAACGGGAATACATTACATCGGAAGAATGTCACGTAGATATTTGTTTGATTTGAAAGAGTTTTATCGCCCCAAAACACATTTTCCAGAAAATGAGGTGGCTCGTTCTTTCTTAATTTGATCAATAATAAATGGACTGATTCATTAATTTTTTGAGTCACCTGTTTAAGCAAATCTAAAAAATATGAATGCAATGATTAAAACTCATATTTTGCACATTTGCGAAAGAATTTATTCGGAAAAATTTTGGGATGTCGTAATCAATTTTTTGGGGTTGATAAACAGATACATTTTCATTAAAAAGTGACCATGCTTACAATAGCTTCAAAACGTTAAGATTTCAAAGTATTCCGTTTTGCAATTCTTAATTTAATCAATAAAATAAATTGACTCAAGTCATTAATTTTTTTCACACACCTCGTATAAGCAAATCTAAAAAATATTTATGCAGTGATAAATCACAATTATACACTCATCATACTTTGCACAATGCACATTTAAGATTGCATTTTTTCGGAAAAATTTCGGGGTGGCTTGATCAATTTTTTAGGGGGGGTGAGCAAATATATTTTGATCAAAAATTTACCATGCCTATGATAACTTTAAAACATCTCCAAGATTTCAGTTTTGTAGTTCCTAATTAAATCAATAAAATAAATTTACGTATTCATTAATTTTTTTGAGTCACCCTGTATACGCAAATCCAAAAAATATGAATGGAATGATAAATTACAAGTACAGACATATTTTCTACATTTTAGATAGGATTTATTCGGCAAACTTTTCAGGTGACGTCATCAATTTTTTGGAGGGGACAAATAAATATATTTTGAATAAAAACTTATCATGCTTATCATAAGTGACGTGATCACATTAGTGGTGGGGATGATTAGACAAAATTTGGTTAGCGTCTACATGATATACCTAATATAAATACAAAATTTGACAACAATCGGGCCAGTATTTTCGGAGATTATCTGTCTAATAAAAATCCGGGACGCCAGACAGACGGACAGACAGATGGACAGACGGATAGACAGACGGAAACAGGAGGCCTATTTCTTCGTCATCTAGGGGCCATGATAGGTCGAAAAAATGCAAAAGTAGAGAGTCGATTACAATACTTCCTTTGCTTACGCCCGGGAAGTGAAAATAAGATTTTGAAATTTCTTGAGAAGTGGTCAGATGTTAACTTATCTAGAGATCGTACATCTTTCCAGTGATTATTGTGTATCAGGCCGTCAAAAGCGATTCAGCGATGCGGAAAGCTAATGGCGAAAAAAACTTGATAATACATTGGAAAACTAGCTAGGTCCAACAAAGTATTACATCTTATAATTTAGATTATTACAAAATGCTCGAGATCTTTCTTCTAAAACTCAATGTTTTTAAGTTGGCATCTGTAACTTTTCATTTGATAGTATAGCTATCAATGAGACTTGGTTCCCGCTCAGGTATCTGATAGTGATAGAACGCTTTACTCAGATCCCCAGCAAATATATTATTATTATTATTATTATATATAGTTGATGCATTCGCTAGAAGTTTTTCCAGCGTATTTAGTAAAAGTGATAATACTTCTCTCATTGGAGAGTTAACGTAAACTTCCAATAACAGTTGTTTTTCAATTTCATCAGTAACTCCAAAGATGTTGTTAGTGGTAATCGGAAAATTACCCAATAAGCATACGTGGAGACCATTTGATTCCTGCTGATACGGAATTGCAGAAGTGTATTCGCTAAACCTCTGTCTGTACTAATAAACGTCACCCTCAAAACTAGTACTTTTTTGGATTGCTGGAAAACAGCTAAAATTAGCCTTGTGTTTAAAAAAGGGGATTCTTCGTGTCTTGGAAAGTATAGACCTAATACTACATCCACATTAA